ACTATTAACTAAAATATGAGTATGTAACACGTGTCGATTTCACATCGAAACCAAAAGGGTTGAACTTAACAACGAGGCCAACTGCTAAAAGAAACGTAACGTTTTAGCAACTACTGCCAACTATAGCCAATTTTGTCTATACGAAAGCTGAACTTTGCACCGCCACTTGCTCCTCACCTTTGACGTAAGCGGTTGTCATCCACGCGCAGACTTTCGATAATTGCGAGGATTCCCACGCCCATTCAGCGAGCGGACCAGCATAAAAGGGAGAACTCCAGCCATAGCAGATTAGATGATTCCTGACACTGACAACGTACACTCACTTGCAATCATCACCCATGAGCATTTTGAGCATATATTGTTAAATCTGACGTTGTACTTATCTTTACTTATACCATATTAAAATCATTGTGTTTTTAGTCGAAGTTATTTCATTTAAACACTTAAAAAACCTATCTCCACGATTGTGAAGAGATGCCTACAGCCTACAATACAACACGCAGGGCTACAGGGTCTTTACAATTATTAATAGCCTGATACCAGTAACCAGATTATAACAAGAGGGACGACCCTTAAACGGAGGTGAAGAAAAAACTGTGGAAGGAGGCGTCAAACGTCACGATTTTGGATCATGAATTGTAAACCAAAACAAACGTTCCTAGAAAAGGCCAACAGAATCAACGCGATGCGTTGGCCTATCTCCACGATTGTGAAGAGACGCCTACAGCCTATAATACAACACGCAGGGCTACAGGGTCTTTACAATAAAATAGAGAAATATTATTAAATATATAAATTTTATAATAAAATATAAAAATTGTATGATATATATATAGAAATATTATAAAATATAGAAATTTTATAGTGAAATATACGGTGGTCGAAACTTTAATGAACATATTAATTTATTAAACACTGATATGTTCAAGAGACATTGAGACAAAGGTTAAATAATGAACACTGTAAAATGCCACTTTAAAAACAGGTATATAGATCTCAATTCAACGTCAGCTTTCCCAAACCTAAAAAAAATCTCAACAACACGTGGAAAAAACGTTAGCTGAATTTAAAGAAGTATGATAAACATCTATTAAATAAATAAGTAGCTAGAAATACGAATTCTGATGAAATAAAAAAGAGCAGTTATTGAACAAGAACTTAGTGTGGTATCTTTTGATTTAGGTAGAAATCTAAAAACAAGCAATTTGTGCTAACATTTATTATTTAACTGTTTATGATACCTAACGGTAAAATATAACATTATTGTTCAATGTGTAGAATCTGAAACCTAAGAAAAAAAACATTTTCTTTCTACTCTGACAACTCAAGTGGGCAAAATCAAAGTAAAATTTTGTGTTCTATTTAGGAGTATATCGCATTTAAAATAAAAATAAAAATTACTCAAAAAAAAAAATAAGAACTTATACATAAAAAAAAATCAAAGCACTTTGATTTCAACCAAAATTAAAGATAAATTTAACATTATTAGTTCTTTAAGAAGTATACCAGACAGATTGCAGTAAGAACAAATTATTTTCAATAGTTATCGAGTACAAATTAGTCACTCAAGTCAAATTTTTAAACATTGAACACCATAAAGTTTATGGCAGCATTGTTAGCGTATAGGCGGCTGGCATATACTATTAATATCAATGATGAATCTCATTTTTTTTTTTTGTAATAATATTAAATCATAATAAACCGGCATTTACTTAATAAAATGTTATTTTACGCATCATTCAATGATGCTGAAACCGGGGAACGACTACTATTGTTTTGTTGTGTAAGAACGCGACCGTAAACCGTTCTTTCAGACTCGCCAATAATACGGTAGGTACATTAAATTCAATAAAAACCTTTAAACAACCAAGTTATTTATTTTTTCTTATTATATAAATATATATAACTCCATCCATATACTAATGGCATATTTTTCATTTTATTGAAACGTTTGACTATTAAGATTTCGTTTCACATCGAGTATAGTATAACCATAGAATAAATTTAATCAGAATGGAAACATAGTAGGCATATTCAATGACCTTCGGCCATTTTCTCGTTCCTTTATTCTTAAATGTATATCCATTTTAATATTTTATTTCACCCAGAAAACGAGCGCCGTTTTTTGTTTACAAAGTAGGTAGCTTTCCATTTCGGTTAAATTTATTCCATGGCATTAATATCAAATCGATTACATAACAGCTGTTACACACGTAATCGGTGACACGTAGCCGGTGACACAGAAGGCGATAACAATTTAATAAAATTGTCGTCCATCGAATTGCCGCCTTCGGCAATGTTTAAAATTTAAAAAAAAAAGAACACTTTTAACTAAAAATCCAATAAAGAGAAACGAATTTTAATAAAAATGAATGCTACAATACATACCCGTCACACGAAACGGAAGTGCGTTTGAAATCCATTCGACGTTGGCGGCCATCTTTGCCGTGTGCACAACAAATAAGCAGCAATTGCATACAGGCGCGATTTTGCCATATCGCGCTGAAAACTATAACGGAATTTCGAATACAACCGCAAAAGTTAAAACAATTATACAGGTGCACAACATCAATTGATGTTTTCAAGTAAAAAAGCATTACATTACATTAAACATTTTAACGAAACGTTCGACTCTGTGCGTTGTCGGAATGGAATGGGCGAACGGCAACCGGACTTCTGCGGGCGCCGAGCGAACGAGGCCGCTGACGGCTGGAAATGGACGCCGATCGGCCGGCAGTGGTGGGGATAGAGGCACAACGGAATACAAATATGGTTGTTGTTGACTGGCTGTAGTTCTGTTGCACGATTCGTACACGGTATACTAACGCTGTATTAGTAAATATATATATATATATATCCAATAACGATAACCTTGTTTCGAGCTTGTCTGACCGATCACCACTGACGCACTGCGGCCTGTGCACAGATTGAATGTGAAAGGCATATAAAATATATATATTATTATAAAGTTCTACAAAATATTAAAAATTCCCCGATCTCACTGTGCATTAAATGTTTACGCCTTCACACACGTTATAAATTGTACTAATTAAGTATATCGACATTTTTGGAACACATCGTTCTTTACCGGGCACCCTATGTTGTTTTACCTTACCCCTATATTTTATTGTGCTGTAGTCTCTTCCAGTTCAAAAGTTATAGCTACTCAATCATATTGCGAATTATCGTTGCCCGAGTTTGAGAGTAAACGGGCAAAGTATGTTTGCCGCAAACATTGCAGCGACATCGACATTCACTTTTTTTTTTATAATATATAACACCAGTAGGATTTCTGTTATTTCAAACCTAGTAGACGAAGACATACTTTTTTTCAACCATCACTCCTTTTGATCTCATTTACTGTAAAGGCACACCGCAGGACTATGCTGCTACACCATGTTACTACAGTTAGCCCGATGAATTTTCGACAAGTCAACGCAAGAATCATTACATTATATACAGCTTCAACTAACGCTATAAAAAATATCCTAAGGAGGGATTTCAATATAACTATTTTGAAAGAACTTGTTTAATTTCTTAGCAACTTGTAAAAAATACAAGAGGTTTAATTAAATTTAGTTGTATAAAATTATAAATTTAAATCACCAATAGATAATAACCTAGTTTTTACCTACACGAATAAATACTTAATAAGTCATAACTTACTACATAGCTAATAAGGGTATGTATTTTACAGCTAACAGGTGGTAATTACAAAATGTTGCGATGAGATACTTTAGTTTGTTTTAACTTTCTACAATGTCAAAAGTCTATTGTACAAAGTGTACAAAAAAACCTTATCTGGATTATCAAGAGGTGAACATTTTTTTTATAAATCATTAGCAGTTAACAATCTTAAAAATCCGACTAAGTATGCCAAGAATTTAATTTAAGGTCAATGTTTAACATATATCGAGAGTGAATTTGTCAAACGTTCTAAGTGCCAAAATATAAAAATTGAACTTTATAATTTGGTTTGTATTTCATTCATTACCGGAAACACTTAAGCATGTTTTTATGTGTTAAATAAGATTGTTTTTTTATAAATAACTATTTCTCACTTGACAAATATACAACATTTCTCGGTTGCATAAAATTTCTCGCAAAAAAGCCTCAAACCCTCGCTCGAAAATTGTTGATGTCCCGTACCTTTGGTTATGACATCCAACGTCCCAGTTTGCACAATATCGGTACGACGGTTTGAGGTCGGTTTCGGAGATGTCTGAAGTCAAAGGAATAATAATAAATTACAGCAATAACAAATAAATAATCGTATCTTTGAATATGACATTCGACGTCCCAGTTTGCACAATATCGGTATAATGGTTTGGGGTCGGTTTCGAAGATGTCTGAAGTCAAAGGAATAATAATAAACTACAGCAATAATAAAAAAAAAAAGCCAGTACAGTGGGGATGGGGAGGTCACAGGTCTACAGGAATTATTATAACTAAAGGTGATAAAATCACTTTTAAATAAATACTTTGATGCGAATCTGTGAATAGTCGGTTCAAACCTAACCAAAACATTTTCATGGTAAAATCCTAACAACTTTAACATTTCTTTGTATCTTAAAAATAAATTTAATTATAATTGTAATCATTTACAATTATTGTTAATTATTATTCGCTCGATTTAAAAAAAAAAATAGTATTAAATACAAAAAATTTGAGTTGGTGTGGAAATGTGGTAGGTAAGGACTTTTATGGGTCAGCTGCAATAGTAGAAAGTTAACATTATTTTTGAAAATTCTACCTGTTCAAAAACTTAAGTATTATTACTTGTTCAACTAGTTTCTAGTAGTAGTGATGTACGTAGTAAATATTAGGAAAACATTTTTAGTTGAGGTATTTATTTAATTTATAGGAAGCCCTTACCCCCTCCACCAGACATTTTGCTTATGGTTTAAGATTCTAAATCAGTCCCTGATGATATATCACTTCTCGCTTTTCTGAGTACAGCACATATCTACTTGTATAAATAATTGTTTTGAGTACATGATTTTCATTATGAGTACACGGTCTACATGCGTACATAGTAAAGTAGGAGGTGGATACTCAAGGCGGGTACTGATTACACCACTCATTATAAATAATTAATTAAGAGAGATTTACAGTACCATTAACAGAGACTTCAAGCACATCCTCTGCCAGTGGAAATCAAATACCGTGGGCTCGACACTCTCGTTGGCTGCATTAGCAATGGTCTTATAAGACATCACCAATACTTTTGTACAAATTTACAAAACATTCATCAGGATCAGCATCTAAATTTCTAAAATTTTACAAAATAAGTTTATCTTTCTTATTTACTAATTGAAATAATGAATTAGAAAAAAAACATACTTCAGTACAGGACAAAAACACTCTTAGCACGATCGAACGATGCTCTTGCTATTGATTGTCGTAAGCATGATTCAACCAATGAAAACAAATGATTTTTTCTGTTGTCTTCTTTGGATATTGTACTTTTTGATATTACCTCCAAGTCTCAATGCTGAAATCTAACAGAAATGAGATGTTTTAATGGGTGGGTAATTTTTTTTTTTCATTTAGACTGTTATAGCATCAGTTTCCAACATTTTTCACTGTTAATGGTCAACAATCAACTGTCCTAAAAATAAAGCTATTAATGTTCAACATACATCATTTGTGTTATTTAAAGTAATTGAAAACAGGAAAAAAGTGAACTTTAAACATTGAATAAAACTTATGCTTCTATTGCAGGTATCAACAAAAACCGACGACATGGGACGTATGCGTGCATACTTCTTTCTAAAATTTCATAACTTTACGTTAATTACAAAAAAAATAATAGGCAGTTTGAGAATTAGCCAGTTACACAACCTAATGATTTCCAATAAATGCGGTATGGTAGATATTAATAATAGCAATAATATATTCAACGCCCCAAAAGTAAGAGTGCAACATACATAATAAATTAGAAATTATGAATGGTAATATACAAAAAAAAAAAAAGGAAAAGAACACAATTTTTTTACAATGAACATTACTTAACAAAATAATTAGTTAATAGTTGTGTAAAAACTGTAGTTTTGGGGGTGGAAACTTACATGAAAAGTGGGACGTGAGTGAGTATTGAAAATAGAAATATAAAATGCAAATGTACTTGGGAGTTCTGGACTATCAATAATATTTATTTAAATACCTTTATTCTTTCCTAAGGAAACTGTCCATTTTAGCAAGTGTAAAAAAAAATTATTTAATAAACAACCATTACTTCATTGTATGCATATTGATTAATAACGACCGAACAATTTTATCCATGTGAACGAGTTCTCAAATATTCTCGACCAAATTGTATGATACATTTTTCTTTCCGACTCCCTAAATCAAGGAATAGAGTAGGTATTAGTACTGCTTACCAATTTTTACTAGTTAATTAATATTACAAGATTCTTTTAATACTGGCCTAGCGAAACATTTCTACACTTTAAGAAAGTACCTGTGCGGCGGACCAAAACTCGTAGGCGGTGTCGAGTTATGATGAAGTTGTGGGGTGGAAACCGGTCGCCTTCAACTCGACGAGGTACCTTCTTAAAGTGTCCGGAGTATATAGTGCCCAGAACCGGATTGTTGTTTACACTGTCGTCTGTGCTACTGTTATATGCTATAACCTTCACACGCCCTTTACACAAACACACAACTACACTAAGCTTATTATTACTCATATTATAATGATGTCACTCTGATGGGTGTGGAATAGTCAATGCATCTGTTATAATCGGCATACTTATTATACAAATACGGACGCCGACTCATGGTCGGTACAGAGCACACCTGCATGGTTATCTGGCGTAGTGATTAAATAAAATTGCAAATATATATATAAAAACTACTTAGAGTCTGTTCCGCTCAGATAAGCTATTTGGGAAAAACATGTTATTGCCATTTTATCGAATTATTTAATTATAACGAATTACTATACTCATGCAAGATACAACTCTGTAGCAGGCAGTTTGTCTATTTTATGTTTTACACGTGTAATAAATTTAAACTTATAATTTAAAAAGTCTTAAATTATTTACAAATCCATCTTCCTGAATTGGTTTCGACTTGAACAACATACACATTTCTTAATAGTTCTGGTACTTGTAACTAGAACTATTACACTACGAAGGTGTGTCCTCTCCGACATCGGAACACTATAAACAATTATGTTTCATTACAACACTGCTATAAGCGTAGCATTAAAATTTGTTAATCGTACCAATTGGATTGCGAGTGTTAGAAATTTTTACACAATATGTACTTAATTGTAAGTCGTTTTCAACGAATAAGTTCAATGTTTGAGTATGGCACGTCACTATTCTGGTTATAAGTTAAATATCAGTTGAAAATATATTTTAAGGAAACGACAATTACAATAGTTATATCATAATATATAGATTATGAAATACTAAAATAATATAAAAACTGAAGTATATACTGTATTATTTTTTTCTATAATACCTCGCAAAGGCACAAAAAAAAGTAAAAACTGACTAATATGATAACAGACGAACGATTGCGATAGTGCGATAACGAGTTATTGCTATCTTTTTTTTCGAATTGCATAAAATCCTAATGTCTACTACCTATTAGGCTAGTCAAAAAAATTGTGTTGCTATTTCATTTTTAGTACAAGTAGAATTAGTTTCTGAGGAAGTCATTTGCCAACGATTTGGTTGCAATGTTTTCAAGTTCAACTCATCACAATTTTTCATCATAGTAAAACCAATTTTTTTTCTTTTTGAGGGGGTGGATTTTGAAGGAACATAGGTACTTACAAACGTGTTTTATTAATATATAATTTAGTCAAGGTAAAATGGACAAAAAGTTTTTAGCTCGAAATTGAATACATAAATAATAATAACACTAGTTTGTCACTGTTGGAACAAGTTAAGAATATAAAATGTTACATCGTATTCTCCTTGAATAGTAAGTGCACATTATTTTTGTCGTAAAGGAGGGGAACGTGTTAAGCATAAAATATATAATGTGGCTTGACATCAATAATATTGTTATTGTACAACGTGTTTTTTCTTTTCTATACCTACCCACTGCATTCCAAAAGAAAACAAACACCGGTTTTGAGCATTACGACAGACGGCTGTCGTGGCGTCGAACCTAGCCAGTAGCCGCTGTCCGCCAAGAAAACAGTATACACCGATTTCAAATAAACTGTACACAATTTGACCATTTTTTTAAAAATATTTTCCATCAATTTTTAAGTTTTAAAGGCCGCTGAACCCAAATCGTGCATATTTTTTTTCTATTGACCACTTCGTTGGGGGGGGAGTGCCAGGGGGGGCATATTTTTGAATTTCCAAATATTTTACATCGATTAATCAAATAAGAAAACTATACTGACTAAAAATAATTATTTGCTGGACGTTATTGATTTGTAGCATATATTAAATACATATACATAGTATTTAATCTGTGTTTGTAGTATGTTGTTGTTATGCCTGGAGGCCGTCTAGGATGGAAGAGGGTTTAGGCAGAACAAAAAGTTGACAGCAAAAGTTGGTAAAAACTTATAATGAAAATTGACTTTTAAAAGATTGAACAACCCTGTGTAATAATAGACAGTATAAAGTACAACAATAGGTCTGTGCAGCAACAGAACGTTTAAGTTGTATAAGTACGGTGCGAGCTGGGCACACAGTGGCGGATTTGAGGGGGGGGGCGATGGGGCGATCGCCCTCCCCCCCTTGGCCCAAGAAAAAAGTGGTTGTAATAAATTTCGACCATGTCAATTAATTTACCTGTTAATTTGTATAAGCTTCATATGGTATTATTTTCAATTTAAATCATTTTGTCTGTGAGTAAAAGCCATTTTAATATAATAGTAATTTGTTTGTTCCGTCGCTGAAAACAGATTTGAATTCGTCATGGAGTTTACTTGAAATCGGTCAACGTACTTTTTATAAAATTTTTAAATCAAATTTGGAAGGGTTAAAATTAAAAATTGAAAAAAGTACCCTGACCGATCCTAAGTAGATTTCGCGGCGAATTCAAATCTGTGTTCAAATTACTTATCGGATTTCTGGTTCGGCCCGTGCGATGGAAAAAAAATGATGTGTTTTGACTGAACGAAGATGATGTTATTGAAAGATTTGCTATAGAAAAAAAAAAAGACATTGATTTTATATTATAAATATCTGAGTATTGTACTTTACTTAATTATAAGTACCTATGTATTTGAATTTAAACAAACTTGTTGTAGCTATTTTCTACGAACGTTTATTGGGTCAAAATTAAACTGAATTAATAATGATTAACTAAAAAATAACTAATCAAAATAATGAATACATTGTAACATATTTTGTAGACAATTAAAAAAAGTAAAAAAACAAAAAAAGGCAATTTTATTATACCTACAAAAAGTATAACAACAATTTTTTAAAAAAGTCTAATATCTTCTAAGATATTGTTATTTTTTTTTTAAGTTATTAGTTGGGACAAATATTTTTCAAAATTTTAACACTATCCCTTTTACGTTAAAACCATATCAACTTTGGATTTTTAAATGGTAGCCCCCAATTTTTTTTTATGATTGTGTTTATTTTTTTTAAATTTAATTTTAGGCGTAAAAACTAGATAAATTAGACGAGTACATTAAAGTTATAGCTACTACAATATTAGCTTTTTATACGAGATGCTTTTATAAGTTTTACAACTAAAGAAAAAAATCGTTTTTCACGATTCGCAAAATAAGATCAAAATAAGTGTTCCTAGCGGTGCGGCGTACCTGTACGTACCTATTGAATATTTGTACTATCATTACTAGGAGAGGTCATTTTCTGCTGTGCAAGGAATATTTGCGGTATAGGTTATAGGTGTTGTGTAGTATGTTAAAAATAGATCAAATATTTTTAAACAAAGTATTGTTGGTAAAAGCATATTAATTATAAGTACATATTTTATTTGTCATACTTTAAAACGATTTTTTAACTATCGAATTGCATCAAAACGTACTATTTTCAACCAATATTTTACGGTTTTTTTAATTTTTTTGTTTTAAAATATAATATGCCCCGTATAGCGAAAAAATTTGAGTTTTTTTTAACCTGTGAAACGGGCCTTAGAGTAACCCCGAGATGTCGTATGTGGAACGCAGAGACGCGGTTTAGTGTAATAGTTTCTAAATCCAAATAAGGAGTGATATCTTCTGAACGCCCAAATAGGGATAGTGATATCGCCGTAGAGTTTGTAGACAAGTAGATGGCAGTGAAAGCTTTTGCATCACAATGTCGATAATTTCAAATAAGTTATTCTATTTTTGTCTGTACAACAGATGAAAGTTATCAACATAATAATTTTAATAGAAATGACTGTTTATTTTTTTTTCTTAAAATAAGTTCTCAAGAACAATGTAAGTGTTTTTAACAAATATTACAACTATTAATGTAATTATAAAATAGTAACAAAAGCACATTTTTTTAAAAATGTTTATACAAATATATGAGTGTATTTAAAAAATGTATATCTTATACATGGGTAGTCTTAGTATTTATTTATTTATTTTATAACATTTTGGTTTGTCCCTTTTCGCCCCTATGCACAGTATTCATTTTTAATACTACCGAAGTACTGTATTTTGTTGATTAGTACTGATATATATTTAGTTAATGTAAAATATGTAATTAAAAAATGGTTAAAATTAAAAAAATATGCCCACCTAATTAGGGACCAGTCTAAAGACTGATGCAAAATTTGGATTCAGCGACCTTTAAGAATAAACCTTATAAATTTTGTTTTGAAAAGTAATGTGCAAGAGATTCCTCAATTGTCATTTGTAAAAAACGACAATATCAATTGCAAGGGTTGAAGCATCATATTTAATTGTACATCAAGGCGCCAGAACTGTAATAATCGTTATTTCAATTTTGTATTATTCTTATGCATTATTTTTATCCAATATATTTTATTTGTTGCGTCGACTTAATAGTTTTATTAAATGTATTTTTTTAAATTTAAATGTTGGTGACTGTGAATCTACGATTTGTTTTGTCTAATATTTGTAGTTTATCGGTTTTTATCAGGAAGTAATTGATAAAAAATAAAATAAAGTTTTTATTGACTTTAATATGTATAAAGTCGAATAATGCCAAAAAAAAAAAAATGCAATTAAAATAGTTTCTTTAAAAAATAACAGTATATACTTAAATCAAATAATTAAATGAATAAAATAATGTGGCTTATAAAGTTCTTCCACATTTCAACGGTTAGAGGTACTTTGTCCACTGCTTCAAGCAAACGATTTTCAACAACGGGCAATTTAAATGTCTTGTTGTTTGACTTCACTTGTCGTTTAACTTCAGACCAAACTAACTCTGTTACATAAAACATGTTTGTTGTGTTGTACTACCATTTCATCGATTACGAACTTATTGTAACTTGATATTATTTTATTGACAGCTTCCTGAAAAGGCGTCTCATTGGGTTAGTTAGTTAGTCATGTAAGTTAACAGTTTAATAAGTCAACTTTATTGTTCTACGTACATAATACATTTCTACAATAATTTTCCAATTATTACTTTATTGTGTTACTGAAATACTATTTATCATTATTACTATACAAGTTGTGTTTGCTTTTGCCAAGTTAAGGGTTAAATTTGCCTTTTTTCAGTAACTAAGTTACTACTAAGATGTAAGTACCGACTTACACGAATTACTAACTCACGCCAACAGAAAAAGTTACATAAATCCACATGACATCTGTTACCAAGTTATAAAAGATAATCAAACAATAATTTGGAAAAACATTCAGTTTTTAGTAAGTTTCTTTGCTTAATAAGTATAGTTGTACATAAGTCATAACATTAAACATGATGTGTATAGTAATTAGTATTAACACATATTAATGTAATCACTATTCAAATTTGAACTACTTAACGAACCAGTGGCGGTTTTAGCATATATTTTTGACTGAGGCAACTAGATATAAAATGCACTCGTATTAAAAACCAACCCTACTTTGTTTTGACAGTTTATTTTTATCATAACCATTCCATGTCATTCTCAAAAACCTGTTTTTTAATGTTAAATGGTTCATAATTTAGATACAAAGAATCAACACCATTAACGAACTAAATAAAGAAATTGACTTTTCGAGAAAAAAAATTCAAGTTTACGTGAAAACATA